ATAGTAGCAACAGAGGCCAATGCCAGTTTGATGCCAAATTAGATAAAAGTTACTAACAAGAAAAATTATATTCTTGATACAGAGAAGGTGAACTGCTTTTTTCCCCTACAAATTACTTTTTTTAAAACCCTTACCAAAGATATGTTTATTGATTTGAGAGAGAGGGAAACAGAGAAACACCGATGATGTGGGAGAAACACCGATTGGTTGCTTCTTATACACACCTCAACTGGGGATCAAAACCACAACCTAGGTATAATGCCTTGACTGGGAATCGAACCCACACTTTTTGGTATACAGGACAACCTCCAACCGAGTAACTTTATATATATATATATATCTCCTTAGTCAAATTATTTGTTAAAGACCTAATGTTTATAAGTTGTCTAAATATCACTATCTATAACATTAGCAAAAAATACTTCCCATCTGCTTTCTCTCTCTTCTGATGTGCATTTATTTAGTTAAGAAATGCAAATTTAGTTTTCAACCAAAATTTCCCATCAGTTATCCATCACCATAAACAATGAAAGAGACCAAAAGCATATTGATTGTTAAGTACTATGCTAGCTATGTACATTATAGGTCCTTTTGTTTTATTTCCACAAAAACTTCTGTAAAGTTATATAATTACATTTTACTAATACGAAATTTGAAACTCAGAGATATCAAGTAATTTATCCAAAGGGATATCTATAAGAGTGCAGCACCATAACTCAAAGTTTAAATGAAATGCTTATGATTTACCCTATTCTACAAGAATCCTTTGTCCACTGCCCCACTTGTTCCATGTACCTCCTTTACATACTATCCTATATAATAAAAATCTAATATGCTAAGTGCCTGACCACCAGGGGGCAGACACTTTCACTGATAGGTTAGCTTGCTGCTGGGATTGGGAATGAGCGAGATGGGCCAGACATTCCCTGGAGTCCTCCCCGGAACCAATTGTATACTGGTGGGCTCTCTCAGCCTGGCCTGCGCCCTCTCGCAATCTAGGAACCCTCAGGGGATGTCGAGAGCCTATTTTGGCCTGATCCCCACAGGCCAGGCTGAGGGACTCCACCAGTGCATGAACCTGTGCACCGGGCCTCTAGTATTTTAATAATGAATGATGTTTATTTGTGAGCATATCTATTTTTCTGATATATGTTTCAATTTCACATTTGAATCATATGCATTTTTTATTATAAGTCCCTTTTGGCTAATACAATTTGGCAGTTTAACATAGTTGATCAAAGCAAGGAATTTTAAAAGTGTATGTACTGCAAGCACTTAATAAATAAATTGCCATTCACCAATCAGGCATCAAGAAGGGTTATGATTCTTTCATATAACCCCTTAAACCTTTATCTGTTCTTCCAGTTATTTATTAATTTATTTTTTAAGTGAAATGTCATGGACACTTGCAATCCAAATATAGAAACCTTACCCTAATTTGACAATCAACTTTTTAGAAGCAACTAATCTTGAATGATTTCTTAATAGAACTTTTACAGACATTTTTATGCATATTTTATTGGTTTCTTAATATTTAATAGCATAAATTCAATAAAAAGTGCAATGAAAAAAAAAACCAGAGTGGTAAAAATATTACAATTAACCATTGTGAACATGTAACTCAACTGCTGAATGCCAAAGTTGAGCAAACATTATGGAGCGCTGATACATCTGTACTGCCTGGAGTACATAATTTATGACAGTTGGTCTAGTAAATCAAGGCTCCTTGAGAATGCTTCTAGTGTGCTGATTTATGTGATAATACATGGCAGGGCAGGACATACCCATGCTCCTGCCTTACAATATTTACATTCACCTGTTACTATGAAGAAAAATGTTTACCATGCCAGGATTTGGCTAAGGATACAATAAATCTGAGTTTATATTGGTGAATGCTGACATATAAAATTACTCTTTCCTTTCCGAAATAAAGAGGTCTTAACATATTTACATAAAACTTTAAAAAATATCCTAACTACTAATCATTTTGTAGTTTTCCCCCCCTCCTGCTATGTATAACTGTAATTAGGTTCACAACAAAATTGGTTTTATTGCTACTGTAGGTGGATTTTCAGTGGTTTTTAAACTTTACTATGCATAAGAATTGCCTCTAATAATTCTGATGGGGATTGGGAATGGTACACTGCCAGGTATCTGAGCTTTTGATAAGCATGCCAGGTGATTGTGATGCAAGAATTCTAGTTACCCAGCATTATCAGTAAGTTCTAATTAATAGACTTTATAAGTAGATTTATATTCATCCAGGCAAGACATTTAAAGATTTTTGTCTCTTACCCTTCTTTTTGTTGTATCATACTATACAAGACATAAAAGACACTATTACAAATTTAGGCTTAAACCTGATGGTTTACAATGTGTTACTTTTAATGAAGAGATGGTTTTTATGTGTTGGTAATTAAAAATAACATTTATATTGCTGAATGAAGAGAGTGAGGTTTAATTTTATCAGGAATAGGGATCTAAAATATTTACATTTGAATATACAGAATACCTACACATTTCCTTCCCCATTTTTGCAATGTTTGTAGATTATCCTCCCAAAAATCTTAGGTTGAATATTGTAGTGAAAAAGCAAAAATTATAAAAGCTAATTAGGTATATGACTTATGGATGACTTAATGTACCACTATTAGCCATTATCAATAAAGTCACATGTAAGGTGATATAAAGTTATAAAACTGTTACTGCAGTATAGCTATTTTAAGGAAATGAAGACTGTATTTCAATTCCTGAAACAATTGTCAGAGTGAGTTGCAAATCACAAAAACCAAATGTAATATAGAATTACCGTATTTTTCGGACCATAAGACGCTCCGGACCATAAGACGCACCAGTTTTTAGAGAAGGGAAATGAAGAAAAAAAGATTCTGAAACAAATAGTGTCCTAAAATATTTTATGTGCATTAAAACCCAACATCACAGTCATAAACACATGTAATCAACCCTGTAAAGTAAACAGCAGCATTTAGAACCATTTTAGAGCCGGGCAAGCACACAGAGACCACACAGAGCCGGGCAAGTAAAAAAACTTTTTTTAAAAAGTATATGTGTAGGCTATATTTGGACCATAAGACGCAGGGACTGCCCCCCCCCCCCCCCCCACTTCTGGGGGGAAAAAAGTGCGTCTTATGGTCGAAAAATATGGTAGGTATATTGACGGTGAAATGCATATTCTTTTATTTACCCATAAGATTGCAAATCTTGAGAAACTATTAGTTCCCTGCTATTAGCAAAAGGCAACTTTATGGAATTTCCCCCAGAGTATCAACCTGCTTCAGGGTTATAAATAGCATTAAATTCACAACAAATTAAGTAGAAATAGCATTAGAATCACAACATTTGTCATTTTGTACTTTCTTGGTGATATTGCAGCAATCTCTATATATAAAACCCTAATATGCAAACAGACCGAATGGTGAAACAATAGAACAACTGGTCGCTATGATGTGTGCTGACCACTAGGGGGCGCACACGGAACATGGTGGGCATCTGCAGCAGGTGAGGGGGGCGCCAGACCAAGGTGGGGTGCTGGTCGCTGTCATCAGGGGGAGCCTCTGGTGGTTACTGAATATTCTTTGCTCCCATATACTGTGGACCTACCCAGAGCTTGCACCTGCTGCCAGCACAGGCCTCAATTGTTTGGCACCATCTGTGGGTACAAGCAGTGGCTGCCAGCCCCATCACCCCTCAGGGCTTCTCCACCTCCTCCTGCTCCCGAAGGGCAATTGGGGCTAGCAGCTGCTTCTCACATCTGCTGCCACAGCTTGAACCCACTGTCAGTGCCTGCCCAGCTTGCACCCACAGCTGCTGCCAGCACCTGGCACCGGTCCTGATTGCTTGGTGCCGCAAGGGGGTGCAAGTGGCAGCTTTTGGCCCTGATTGCCCCTGAGGGATTCTCCACCTCTCCCTGCTGTCACCTGCACCCGTTGCTGGCGCTGGCCCCAATTGCTCTCCGCCATCAGTGGGTGCAAGAGGAGATGGTGCTGTCAGTGCGTGGGAGTGAAGGCAGCAAGAGTGCAGAGGATGGGCTGAGACCCACCCCTGTGCCCACCACAGCCTCGTGGCCCATGGTTCCTTTCAAGGTGCATGAATTCATGCACTGGGCCCTAATAATTTACAAATATTTTCATAATTTATTGGCAGGTTGTCAATTTTTTTTTGGTCTTCTATTAACATGTATTAGAATTATGGCAATGAAACAGCAAAGTAAATTATTACTGACTACCCACCATGAAAAGACATTACATTAGGTGCTGTTGGGATTGAAATGATGTGAGTAAGACATAGTCCCTAATCTAAAGAAGCTTAAATTCATTATGGAATTAAGGGATGAATTAATATGTTAGGGAAGACAATCTTAAGACTAGGAGCAATGGACAGCTCAAGGAAATAATGACTTTTAAGTGGAGTTGTTGGGAGACAAGTATTTGAATGGGGAGGGGAAAAGTAGAGGAGAAAAGATGTTTACAAAAGTCACATATTAAAACATAGGCTATATGGTTTATGAAACTACAACTTGCCCTGAAGTTGGAGAAGAGGGCATACAGCTCAGATGGAGCTAGGAGAAAGAGCTGGCACTGGAGATACAAAGACAAATACTTGTTAGAGCTTGCTGCTTAGTGGGAAACAGACAATAAGCTGATGATGGGAAAAAATGCATACATATAGAGTTATGCACAGGGTGATATGAGACACACCTGAGGGTTCAGGGAATGTTTCCTGATTGTGAAAAGCCAGTCTAAGCAATGAGGTAAGGGGTGGGGATAGAGGACTTCTTGGATAAGGAGAATTAAGTTATGTGGCCCACAGTCAAGGCCCATGAGTGACACGAGGTCCCATTATAATACTCCAGAGGAGAAAGGATAAAAGTCATACCACATCCAGGAGACAGTGGAATGTTTTAAAAGCTCTAATGAATAATCCTTAAACAATGAAGTTTTATACCTAATCTAGAGGGGAGGAATACTCCCTTTGCATACCTTCTGGGCAATCATGTTGCAGATCTCAGGTAGGAAATCCTCGCTGAGGAGCTTATAGAGCTGCCGTTCTCTAATGGAGGTCCTCTCTCGAAAACTCTCAGTGACCTGTCTCCATTCTTCTTCTGTTTGGCACACGAGCCACCAAGTGCCTTGACCTGGCCCTTGGGACCCCAAAAAAAGAAAAGGATGGGTTCAATAAATAAATCCTCTTTTCCTACTTACTCTCAATTTTGTTTTTACTCTGGCTCATGAAAAAACCAGGGAATCAGTAAAAAAGACCTATTCCTTTTTTAATTTGAAGATTGATAATGTATACTTTTGATTTTCCTGTTACCATCACTGTTTACAGCTAAAAGTGAATACTGATCAAAAGCAATATAACTTTTGTGACCTTCATAGGTTAGATGTGAATATAGTAGAAATACTTAAATGCATATTTTTTCTATGCAAATAGTTTTGATTTAACCTTTTGCAGTCTTCCCCAGTTCAGAGACATTGAGATACTACTACTAAATTTATATTCTCATCCAAATTATGTGATTTGAATTACAAAATTAAAATCTCAATAGGAAACCAGTATACTCTCTTATGTAATAAAGCATTTTACATTAAAAAGATTGCTTGCTCTTTCAGAAGTTGCTCATTCATCTAAATGTTTGGGTAGATATTACACTGAGGCCAGGTAATAGGGCAAAAGTGAAAAGAACTACTCCTGATCTAAAGTTATCCTTCAGGAGAGACAGGCACAGAATAAAGTACAAGGAAGAGAGAACTGAAGGGCAACAAGGCTAGTTAGTTGGCACTGCAACAGTCTTAACTGCAGTGTATGACTCTGGAAAAAGAGAATCCCCACCATAATACAAATCAATTGCATTTACTTAATCATTTCTAAAAACTCCAGTAGAGGTCATTACCATTTCTTGTCTGTGGCTCAGATACCATGGAATTTTTGTCCTGCTTCTCACTGAAAAAGAGATTAACAATTAAAACACAGACATGTTCAAAACTGTTATTTTCCCTATCACGTAGATCCAACTAAATATGAGTGTGCGTGTGTGTGTGTATCAACAGGGTAAGGTTATAAAAAAATGACTACTGAAAAAATGAACGCTAAGATGGAAATGTATTGGAATAGTGGGAAAAAACTGACATAGGAACCAATTGTTATGGTAACATCAATCACAGGAAAATACTAACTTTTAAAACATCAAAAAATATCAAATAGAAGTGTTAACAGTTAAATACCAAGAAAAAAGAAACATAAAGATTCCAATGTTGTCCTCCCTTTACTCAGAGCTACACTGAAGATAAGGCCTACAAGGACGGGCAAAAATAGGTTTGCAACTGTAATACAAAGAAATAATTAATAAATAATAATACAAGAATTAACTTTGTTTCACGTATTAACAACTGTAAACCTCTTTTTGCCAACTCTATATTTAAATTTAGCTTCATATAAGCTAGAGGTTAACAACAAAGCTTGCTACTAACCATGACCTTGTAAAAGTTAATGTTCCTGTAAAATGGAGTTATTAATAATGCTGACCTTATAGGGATGATGGGCATTAAATTAAAAAAAAAAAGCTCAGCAAGAGATCATAATTACTTGTGCTCTGAGTCATATTAAACATATTGTTCCATAGAACTTTCTGTGAGAATGAAAATGTGCTATATTGTTGCTGTCAATCTGGTAGCCATGAGCTACATGTGGCCACTAAGCACTTGAAATGTGCTGTGGCTGATGTAACTGAGGAACTGAATTTAAAGTTTTACTTAATATAGAAATATTTAAATACAGAGCTATCAAGAATAAAATCACCATTAGAGGCACAAGTCTATGTATGCTTGACAAAAGATTCTAAACAGTAAAAAACTCAATATAATGAACTAATATATTTGGGTGAGAACTGTTCATTAAAGCCAAAAGTCCGTTATATAATAAAATAGGTTTTCTGAATGTGTATGTTAAAAATTGACAAATTAGTTTAGTTTACCTATTTTAACTAATGTAGTCACATTTGTATAATTAAAATTATGTATGAAAAGTTTTATATCACAGTTTTCTATATGTATTACTGTAATTTTAAATTTATACTGAAGCGATCCAGTAAATGCTGTATTGACCCGCCACTGCACATAAAAAAATGTTAATGGCTGGGGGTGGGTTAGCGCATGTGGGAACAATGGTACAAGTAGAAACTGCTGCAGAAAGTCACACCAAGTGACAAGAGAACCAATTACCTACAAGACGTGGTGTGACCACATGCTATTCATTTGCTGAACATTGTTTATAAGAAGTGACTCTTGGATTTAAATGTAGACTATAGTTGTAGATATGTAATATTTATGTTGGCAAAATTACTGGTGTTTTTTTTCAAAATATGGCCTATTCGTGAAAATCTGTTAAAAATAACAGTGAAACCCTGGCTCAGTGATTGAATATTGACCTGTGAAACAGGAGGTCACAAACCAATTTCAAGCCAGGGCACATGCCCAGATTTTGGGCTGTATTCCCAGTGAATGGCATGTAAGACACAGCCAATTGATGATTCTCTCTCATCAAAGTTTCTATTTTTCTCCCCATCTCCCTTCTTCTCTGTGAAATCAATTAAAAAGGCGCGTGCACACACACACACACACACACACACACACACAAAAACCAAACAAAAAAAAAAAAAACCCTGTGAATTAACAACAACAAAAAGAACCTGTAGCAAGTCTTGGTTAAATGCATTTTAAAATTAACAAGGTGTTAAATTTTCACATATGACATACAGATTGGAAATTTTTCCATTAAATTGAGGTGTACAAAATTGAGGGCTTACTATATTCTTAACACTAAGGTACTTTAATTTCACTAATAGTGAAATGGAGATAGATATGAAGCAGTTTTTTGAATACTTAAGGACATATAGATTGCTAACAAAATATAGAAACAGATTTTTGTGTGTATAGAACATAATTATAGGACATTTCTCAGAAACACTGTGGAAGGAAAGGTACAATCTGTGGTCTAATTTCTGGACAGTTAAAAGCAGAATACTGATTCTTAAATATCAAATCAAATCAAATTCTGATATGTTAATTCATAATCTGATTCCTAAAAATATTTTAGTGGTTAATAAATAACACGGTAAATATTTAGTGGTTAATAAATAACACTCTGGCTTACTTCCAGTATTTAGATTATTTAGTAGTGCTAAAATTAGAGGGAAGGAGAATGATTGTCATTGGTTTTTAAGAATACGACCTAACTCCCACAGATAAGAGATATGATCCTTAAGTATATTTACATATAATAGTGTAGGTCACATTCTGAAAACCCTTCATTAAGATTCACATGCTGCAATTTCCTAAAAGATAATGACATATAAATAAAAATTCCCAAATGTAACAGAATCTTTTTCTTTGCTAAAATTAAATATAAAATACTTTAAAACATGTTTAGTAACTTGCCTTTTCTTTATTTTAGGAAAGTGAATTCTAAACAAAATAAAGCATGTTTGCTACTAAAATCTCCCTAATGGTAAAGAACTAACCCCTAAACTTAGCCTATCTAATAAAAAAGAAATGTGCAAATTAACCATCATTCTGTCACAAAGATGGTGGCACCCAGTCCCCACAGCCTTGCTGGAGACAGAAAACCAGGAGAGAAGGCGGGCCCGCTTCCCATGGAAGCAGCACAACTCCCTTCTGGCTCCCGTAGAAGAAACAAGGCTCCAGGAGGGGTTCCTGCCAGCTCCTGCGGAAGCTGCGAGTGACCTACTACACTCCATAGGCTACTAGTATAAGATATACGTTTAGCTGAAACCAGTTTGGCTCAGTGGATAGAGTGTTGGTCTGCGGACTTCGGGGTCCCAGGTTCGATTCCGTTCAAGGGCATGTACGTTGCTTGTGAGTACATCCCCGGTGGGGGGTATGCAGGAGGCAGCTGGTCAATGTTTCCCTCTCATCGATGTTTCTAGCTCTCTATCTTTCTCCCTTCCTCTCTGTAAAAAAATCAATAAAATAAATATAAAAGATATGTCTATTAAAATGCTGATTATTAATCAACATAATCACAGAATTAACTTGTTCCAATTTCCTATAAAAATGTGTGACACAACAAATTTTTTATAAGTTAATACATACTGAATGAGCATGGTTTTTAATCTGTTACGCTGTCACATTGTCTACTTTAAGTTAATTGTTCTATTAGTAGTATGCCTACTGTCCAATAAAACAATAGGCTTAGAGAGAGAATAGGTAACTTGCTAGAGATTCTGCAGCTAGAGCTTCCTGATTTTCTGGTACACACTTGTAATTTCATGAGAATTCTGATCCAGGTCTTCATAATCTAGGTCCCATGTCCTTCCCATGGCATGAGAAACAAGTGAACATAGGTTCCTTTCAGCAAGAGGATCTATAACCATTAAGGACTAACAAGATTATCTTACCTCACTATAATCTCCTCCTGTAGTTTCTTCCGTTTGGGGGGTCTTCCTCTTCTTTTTACTGTTTTCCCAAGAATGCCTGAGCCATTTTTTTGTCCTTCACTTTCCCTAAGAAACAGCATATTAAATAGAATTTTTTTTGTCATAGTACTGATGTATTAAAAGTAGTTTTCCTAGCCATGAGGCTACTGAAATGGATTAAATATAACTATCACTGGGAAAGGGTAACTTCCTATCTTCCATTATTAGAATGTTGAACCAAGGAAAACTGACATTTTACAATATTAAAATGTGAGTAAGACCTAACACTTTCCTAATAGTGAGCAATGCTCCCAGCAATAAGAAAACCTACATAAAAAAAAAATTAAAAAAAAAAAAGGTAGCATCATTACAGGATGCTATCTAAAGGATTCTTCCTCATTTAAGAGCAGTTAGTAAGGCTATGGTTCAGACATTGAGTACAAAAGAGGAAAACAATGGCAGTGAAATGACTGTACTGCTAAGAACCTGCCGTATAAAATAGTCACTGATAAGGAACGTGGTGCTCCTCAGAAACCTCACAGCAAAATAGTATCTTTCACCACTTGGTATTAGTGGCTACAGTTTACTATCTTTATTTCTGTACGAAACAACTCCCTTTCTATCTCTGTAGGTATGCTGTCATAATTGGGTCCTTAATAAGAAAAGAAAAAAAATAGTGCTGCTGATGCATTTAGTTTTAACGACATTTCTGTACAGTAACTACCACAGTTCTGATCTTAAACAATGTACCTGCTCAAAGAGAGTTCTCTGTTGGATTTTCCTTGTATTGGGTCCTCCTTGTACATTCGAGTTCCATAGAAATACCAATATAGTGCCCCAGAATTATCTTCACCTAATGGCTCCACACGGAGACTGTCTGCATCTAGACCCTAGTTTCAAGAACAGGAAGAAGAGATTTGGGGACATGGGGAACAAAAGAGGAGAAAACTAAAATGAAAATTCCAAATTTATACTCAGATATACCTTATATTTAAAAATGCCCAAGTACCTAAGTAATATTCAATTAGGGCATATGAAACAGATATAAAATGCTTGCCATCCCCATCATTGATCCCATTTCACCTAGAAAAAAGAAATCAAAAGGAATTTTGATGAACATCCTCTCCAATCTAATAAGAGTAATATGCAAATTGATCATCACTCCAACACACAAGATGGCCGCCACAAGATAGCCAGGAGGGGAGGGCAGTTGGGAGGGACCAGGCCGGTAGAGGAGGGAAATTGGGGGCGACCGGGCCTGAAGGGAAGGGCAGTTGGGGGGGACCCAGATCTGTAAGGGAGAGCAGGTGGGGGGAACCAGGCCTGCAGGGGAGGGCAGTTAGGGGCAATCTGACTGAATAGGGGGTGAACAGGTTGGCAGGGGAGTGGTTAGGGGGTAATCAAGCTGGCAGGCAGAAGTCGTTAGGGGCAATTAGAAAGGTAGGCAGGCAGGCAAGTAATTGAGAGCCAGCAGTCCTGGTTTGTGAGAGGGCAGTCGGACATCCCTTGAGGGGTCCCATATTGGAGAGGGTGCAGGCTGGGCTGAGGGATACTGCCCACCCTCCCCTGCACAAATTTCATGCACTGGGCCTCTAGTCCTATATAATCCTATATAATAAAAGCATAAAATGCAAATCGACTAAGGGCCGAAGAGTGGAACGATCATCTGGGACCATGCTATGACACTCACTGGCACCAGGCCAGCCAAGGTTGGTGGTATGCAATCGGTCAGGGGCCTGGCTCTCACCCCATGATCACTCTGCAGAGGTTAGGCCAGGTCACCAACGGGTGGGCTGCAGCAGGTGAGCAGGGCCTCCCTCTGTGAGGGAAGCCTGGGTCTAGGGTGCCGAAAGCCAGAGGAAAGCCCAGGTCCCAGGTGCCAGTGGCTGGAGGGAAGCATGGGTTCTGGCCGCTGGGGGAAGGAAGGCCCACTGCTGCACGAATTCTGTGCATTGGGCCCCTAGCATTGGTTTGACTTATTTTATGTGTGCATCCATAAAAGAAAAGACAATTACAACAGAGCTATATGAAAGCTGTCTCACATGATCCTCTATTGTAGATCTATTATAAGCTACCGTATCCACTTTATCTCAGGGTCTGACCTGTATTGGCCTTCTCATTGCTATTAAAGTCCTTGAATTTTCAGTAAAGACTGCTAAATTGCACAATGATTTTTATATCATATACATGAGTAGGGCTCAACTGAGAAGTCATTAATATATTCGATCATTTCTAACTGAACAGGATTAGAAATTGACCTTCCTATGAATGAAAAGCAATAGCCTTCCCACTCTGAGACAGATTTCTAAATTCTTAACAGTAGAATAAGGGGGAGTGAAGAACTATACCTTCCTTCTATAGCACTTTTTTTAATAATGTGTGTAAAAATGTAGGGACAAACTTCACTTGCATCAAAGGGTTACGCAGGCGTCTTCAAACTACGGCCCGCGGGCCACATGCGGCCCGCAGAGGAGTCTGATCCGGCCCGCCAGGTTTTTTGGGCAGTGAGCGCAGCCGAGGTGTTACAGTAGGAATTAGTAGTTTATATAGTCCGGCCCTCCAGCTCTCTGAGGGACCATGATCTGGCCCCCACTTTAAAAAGTTTGAGGACGCCTGGGTTAAAGTCTTTGACTTTCAATAAATATTTTAATTAAGTTAAATCAAATTACTGACTTTAGGTTTTTGTTGTTGTTGTTTTTTCCCTCTAGAGCAGCGATTTTCAACTGGTGTAAGAATTTTAAACCATGAAATACCTGACTAGTTCGTCAGGGGCAATGACCTCTTTTCCCTTAGGTTATTAAAAAAAAAAAAAAAAAAAAAAAAAAAAGACAACAGCTAACAATACTAACAATACATTCTATGTGAATTTATCAAAATTATACCTATTTTTTGGTCAGATCAATCAAAAATATATTTTCTGGTATGCAGGAAAATTTAAGTGTGCCATGAGATTGAAAATTGCTAATCTAGGGCAAGGGCTTGCCAGTTAAGCACCTTGAGAAGATCGAAGACATCATCTGCATCTAGCCGGTAATCACAGAGGCGGTGTAAGATCTCCACACGTGTACGAAGAGGCAGGTCTTGGAAACTGGCTTCTCTCAGCGGGTTGGGCTTCCCTTCCTCCAGCTCCCAGCGGTAATTTATGATGTCCTCTAGGTAGCTGTGAAATGTCTGAGGCCTAGCCAGATGGCCCCGATAAAAAAATACATTAAAATATAGAGAGTGAATGGGTCAGGGGAGAGAGCTGGTGGTTCAAGAGCTGACAAATCTTAAACCGAAAGCAGAAAATGAAGAGACAGTAACAGGAAGGGCCTGAAAGTCCCTCTCTGAAGCCTCATGTTATTATACTATCTATCTGGATTTTATATTGTCAAATTTCAAAGAAAATAAGTATGTTAAGAGTTTCTCACAGAGTAGGTTGTTTTATTTTAAACCACTAAGAGTAAAATCTGGTAAAATAGGTAAAAGTTTACTAATCAATAGTATGGATTGTGAAACTGAGGCCAACAGTTTTACCTTCGCTTGTACAGATAAAGAGACTGAGTTTGGATCCACTTCAAAATTAGGTCCACGACTTAGATGGCAAACAAAAAAGAACTAAATGTCTGCCTAGCTTAATTAGTTATATTTCAGGTTAAAATGCAAATATGAAAAAAACTTCTCTAGAATACAAGAATCCACTCCAATATGCAACTATAATTTTATATTCTATTATACATAAATTTTAGGGCATATTATAAAATACTATATTCTGGATTCTGAAAATGGCTTAGAAAAACAATAGGAAACATTTAAGGCAGCTTGATGGCAATCTAAATTTTTTTAGTTAAAGTTTGATTGGCAATTCTCTGTATTTTGATAAGTACCTAATAAAGTGTTTAATTGTCACATGGTTATCCTACACTCCAATACTTGATTTAAAATTTTTTTTCTCACTAAGCAAAGATGTATTACAAGAATTATATGTCAGCCCTAGCCAGTTTGGCCCCATTGGTTGAGTGTCATATAAGGTACTAAAATGTCACGGCTTCGATTCCTGGTCAGGGCACATGCCTGGGTTGTGGGCTCAATCCTCAGTAAGGGTTTGCAGGAAGCAGCCAATCAATGTTTCTCCCCCTCCCTCTCAAGTAATTAAAAATAGAGGCATACTACCATGTTAACTTGTAATCTATGGTAATTATATTAATAGAAAGAAATGAGAGGAAATATGCATGGGAAAAAAGCAAAGGAGCTTAGGCAAATAAATTAAACATTTTCTTTTTTCAAAGAGAGAAGAAACAATTTCTTTACAATAAATACCGTATTTTTCGGACCATAAGACGCTCCGGACCATAAGACACACCAGTTTTTAGAGAAGGGAAATGAAGAAAAAAAGATTCTGAAACAAATAGTGTCCTAAAATATTTTATGTGCATTAAAACCCAACATCACAGTCATAAACACATGTAATCAACCCTGTAAAGTAAACAGCAGCATTTAGAACCATTTTAGAGCCGGGCAAGCACACAGAGACCACACAGAGCCGGGCAAGTAAAAAAACTTTTTTTTTTAAAGTATATGTATAGGCTATATTTGGACCATAAGACGCAAGGACTTTCCCCCCCCCACTTCTGGGGGAAAAAAAGTGGGTCTTATGGTCCTAAGAATACGGTACCTTAACTGGGGAAAATGTGTATGTGTTAGTTTATCACAATACAGCATAATCCCTCTAAATATCAAGGTTCTCAGAATCTGATTCAATTGCAGCATTCACATTCATAGCATGGGCACTGATATATGCATAACTGCTTGAACCTTAGTGGGTTTAGACTGACTTTTCTCTCTTCAGGACCCGTGAAGCTGATGATGCCCCTTCAAGAGGGAGGAGCTGAACGAAGTGCAGTTCAAACTGTGGTAAAAAGCTGATAGTGTGGCAAAGATGAGTTTGAAAATAAAATGGAGTATTCTTTTGGTAGTGAGGAGTATGAAGAAGACGGTATCTCTTTGGTAATAAATTCATTTATCTACCACATACTTTCTAGAATTTCTAATGCATACCAAGCACCTCAAACAATAAGGCATATTTTTCCTAGGCAAAAGTAAAATGTGGAATCCATTACATTGAGATCATTTCACCAGAATAATAGCTTCACTGGAGGATATGGCAGGAGACAGGCTGGGAGAACTTCCGTATTCCAGTACGAGGCAATGGAAGCACAAACATACTAACCCAACAAACACTGTAAATGTTCAGTGTTGTTCTTTGTGCCTACAATCTGCCCGAAAGCCTCTACCTGTCCCAAAGAATTGTATGTTTGATATTCCTTTCCAATAGCACGTTTATCCTACTCAGTTTCAATTGTATCACTTTGCTAACAGTCTTCTTGGCATCTCCATACCACCTTACCACGAGATACTTGACAGTTTATAATTTGAGACAATTCATTTTCCTTGTACACAAACTTGATCTTAGCCAAAAATTGATCATTCTTCTTGTATATAAATATACCCTCTTATATAAATCCATTAGTGTCCTGATGCACAGATTTGTGCACATCAAAAGGAAATTAATTAGAATACTTTAATATTGCTATTCACCCTTTCTCTAAAATGGAAGTGTCAACCAAATTGACAATGACAGATGGAAACACATGCATGCGACTAGGGCCAGCAATAGCTTTATATGTATCATGCATGTGAGCCTTTTATAGATATAGAATAAACTTGCTTAATTAGACCTGCTTCATGATTTAGCTAAACTTTTCCCAGCCCAGTGAAGTACCCCAACTTCTCTTTTAAGTAATTGTCAGCAACACAGCAGTAAATATCAACACTAAGTAGGTTATTATTGTAGATCATCAGGGAGAACAAAGGGTAAAATATTTAACTGCAGCAGTGTTTGACTATATTCTGCACAGTGAGAAACACTGAAGTCATTTTCAAGGTCCAACATTTCTTACTTCTTCTAGTCGGGTCAAGTTTCTAAATTTTCTAAATCTCTGTTTTCTGGCTAATGAAAAGAAAATAGGATTCTACCAAGTCTCTTATCTACCTACTCCAGGACTTCTGTGAGGATCAAATGAGATGAGGCACGTGAAAACGCTTCACAAACATTTGGTTAAACTAAAATGTTTGGACCTGGCTATATTGCAAGTCGGGTTCCTGGGCTGAAGAAACTCTGAGGAGGCTAGTAGCTAGGGAGAGGAAGCTGGGCATTGCTACGTGATATCATTACCCTACAGCAACCATTTCCAGGCTGGGCTGGAGGCCACATTTTGCACCATGGGGTCTTGGCAGCATTAGCTGTATTTGGTGGGGTGTAGCTCCAGGATCTGACTTGGGGGAAGCTGAGTGTTGGTTTGTCAGCACCAGGACTGTGTTGCCGTTTAGTTTTAAATGGCCAGTGTACATCATGGCAACTCCTGTGTTGAGTGTCTGCCCCCAGGTGGTCAGTGGGCAACATAGCTAATGGTCAGACAGATGGGCACTTAGCCGCGTGTGTGTGTCTGTATGTGTATCTCTTTCTTTAAAACATCTGAAATTCAAGAAGAAAAAAAAACAAACAAGAAAATATAGATAATTTTCATTGATTTTTATAGGGAGGAAGGGAGAGAGAGATGGAAACATTTAGGAGAGAGAAACATCTATTGGCTGCCTCCTGCATGTCCCCTTCTCGGAATCAAGCCCACAATCCGGGCATCAAACCGGTGATCTCTGGGTTCTTGTGTTGACCCTCAACTACTGGGCCGCACAGCTCAGCAAAAACAACTCAAAAAAATTGTTTTTATTGATTTTAGAGAGAGAGGAAGAAAGAGAGAAACACGGATGTAAAAGAAACGTCGTCTTGCTGGTGTGCTTTAGGAACCAAGACGTCACTGGTTCAATTCCTGGTCAGGAGGCATACAGGAGGCAACCGATCGATGTTTCTTTCACCTTGATGTTTCTTTATCTCTTTCTCCCCCTCTCCCTTCTTCTCTCTCTAAAAATCAGTAAAAACATTTTTAAAGAGTTAACTACAGAAAGAACAAAAACACAGGACTTGGGAATCCATTTGTAAATACTCAGTTTACACTGTTATGTCATTTTGGCTAATGATCAGTACTGGTTTGTTAGGAGACATGAAACATCTTGGTGACTGGTTGATTGGTTGATTTTCTCTGCAAAAAAATTTAGTTAAGATCAAAATTACTCACGTGATATCCCTTCGTTGATAGCAGCCCTGAAGCAAGCAGGCGATCAGGTCACTAATAAACTCTGCATCATCTCTGTGAAGAGCTGCTTCTAACTCCTGAGAAGGATGAGAGAGAGTTGAGAGCTCAAACAGAGATTTCTTAAAAGTCCATCTGCCTTGCCTTCCCACCCCCTGACGGCTCCCCCATGCAACTTAATGGTCAGTGTAACAGAAATGCTAGTCATGGATCAACTCTGACCATCTTCCCCACAATTACTGCTAAAGGATCAACTCGAGTTCAACTTCCTGGTTTTTCATGGAGTTTATTTCTCACCTTGCTCATTCACAAGCTCTATTCCCTTTATCAGCACACTAAAAGAAATATATACACATATACCACATTTTATAAATCAGCTAGTGGCCCGGTACACAAAATTTGTGCACAGCATATGTGTGTGTGTTTGTGTGTGTGTGTCTCAGCTCAGTCTGCACCATCTCCAATTTGGGACATTCTCCTCACAATCCGGGACTACTGGCTCCTAACCACTCACCTGCCTGTCTGCCCCTAACCACTCTGTCAGAGGCCTGCTCGCTCTCAACTACCCCTCTCCCCCCGCAAGCTGGCCTGATCACCCCTAACCGCCTCTGCCTCGCCACCATGGTTTTGTCCAGGTCTACTGGTCTAATTAGCATATTACCCTTTTATTAGTATAGGTAATTGTCAGAGTTTAACTTACATACATATGCTATACTGCTTTCTATTTAAAAAAAAAAAAAGTTTTATTTATTTTAGAGAGGGAAGGAAAGAGAGAAAAATCAATGATGAGAGAGAATTAATGATTGGCTGCATGTCCCCTGAATCATTGACTGGCTGTCTTCTGCATGCCCCCACTGGGTATTTAGTCCACAACCCCGGGTATGTGCCCTTGACCGGAATCAAATCTAGGACCCCTCGGTCCGCAGGCCAACGCTCCATCACTGAGCCAAACCAGCTAGGGATAGAAACTTTTCTTCATTTACTTAACACTTTCAACAGGTAAACCATTAGCAACAGCTTAAAAGAACCACTATATTTTGAAAAAAAACCATTGGTAGTAAGTAATATGGCATTTTTAATACTTTAAGTACACTACACCTACAAGACTGATGACAGATTGCCAGAACTGAGATTAATCTTATATTATCTGGAGAGAAGTGAGGTAATGTCTGTATTAATGCTCTAATCCTAGGTGAGATGTAATTGCTTTCATTAGGGTTCAGGGAGACAATGCCAAATCCTTTTTTGACATAGCATTTTAAACAAAGATTAGTGTTGGGTGTTCCAAAGCTAAAAGGTCAAAAAGTGACAGGGGGGGATAATTAGGACATCCATTTTCTATTCTCAATCTCCCAATAAACCAGTATTTTCTGAGGTGATGGAATATGTTCTTAGTCATACAAAGTTTAAACAGGTTCCACTATGCTTATGGTTTGACTAGCTCATAATTACATCGTTATCCAGATTTACCAATCTTTCAAGGATCTTATTAATAGTTCTGAAAGCACAACTGATACTCACAGCCAATTGGCCTGGAGGTCAGTTCCTCTCAGTGATACTAACAACAATTAAGTTTTAACTACAAAAGGCTGTACACACAGTCCACAAAGGGGTGCACCAAGAGTGATAACTGGGAGGCTGACCCACTGAACCATGTAGGACACCTTAGCACACAAAGCCTCCCTACCAACTCAGGGAAGCTGCGAAAATGCCAAGACAAGGAAACAGATCATAAACGAAAGAAATGGTGGACAAAAAGCGACTGGATATAGAGGTCGAAACCACGGTTATAAGGTTGTTCAAGAATATCCCAGAAAAGGCCAATAAAATAAACGAGACCTATGAGGATAAGAAAAGGGATCAACTAGAAACAAAGAACACACTGTATGAAATAAAAAAAATATTATACAGAATCTAAAAAACAGAATGAAAGATCGAAAGAATCAAGTCAAAGATTTGGAACACAAAGAGCCAGAGGACACTCCTCCACAAAAGCAAGAAGAAAAGAGAATCCACACGTTGAAGATAGTGTAAGAAACCTCTGGGACAACTTCAAGCGAACCAACATAAGAATTATAGGGTTCCCAAAAGATGAGAGAGAACAAGATACCAAAAACATATTGAAAGAAATAGTGACAGAAAACTTCCCCCACCTGGAGAAAGAAATAGACTTACAAGTCCAGAAAGCGCAAGAACCCTAAACAAAAAGAATCCAAAGAGGACCACACCAAGACGCATCATAATTAAAATCCCAAGAGCAAATGACAAAGAGAGAATATTAAAAGTAGCAAGAGAAAAGCAGGTAGATTGTCAGCTGATTTATCAACAGAAACCATGCAGGCCAGACGGGAATGGCAAGAAATATTCAAGGTGATGAATAGCAAGAACCTACAACCAAAAATACTCTACCCAGCAAAGATATCACTCAGAATTGAAGGCCAGATAAAGAGCTTCACAAATAAAAAAAAAGCTAAAGGAGTTCATCGCTGCCAAACCAGAATTATATGAATTGCTGAAGGGGGTTCTTTAGGAAGAGGGGGAAAAAAAAAGACAAAAATTATGAACAACAAATATGTAACAATCAACAAGTGAATCTAAAATCCAAAGGAATTAAAAAACCTGATGAACAATATTAACTGTTGAATATAATAGAATCAGAGGTATGGAAGGAGAGTGGACTGACAATTCTCGGGGAAAAGGGGAGTGGAAGGTGCAGGAAGAGACTGAACATAAACTGTGCACCTATGGATGAGGACGATGAGGGGTGGGGAAAGGGCAGATGGTGGGGTGAGAACATGATGGAGGGGGAAAAAAATGAACTTTTGTAATAATATGAACAATAAAGACTTATTTAAAAAAAGAAAAACAAACAAACAGGAAAAAAAAACCCACCCAGATTTCAAGCTATATTACGAAGTCACTGTTCTCAAAACAGCCTGGTACTGGCACAAGAATAGACATATAAATGAGTGGAAAAAATAGAGAATCCAGATATCAACCCAAATCACTATGCTCAATTAATATTTAACAAAGGAGGCACGAATATACAATGGAGTCAAGACAGTCTCTTCAATAAATGGTGCTGGGAAAATTGGACAGATACATGCAAAGGAATGAAACTAGATCACCTTACATCATACACAAAAATAAACTCAAAATGGATACAGGACTTAAACATAAGACAGGAAACGATAAAAATACTGGAGGCAACCATAGGCATCAAAATCTCAGACATATGCCAAAAGAACTTCTTCACTGATACTGCCCCTAGAGCAATGAAAGGTAAAGAGAAAATAAACAAATGGGACTACATCAAAATAAAAAGCTTTTTTACAGCAAAAGAAACCATAAACAAAACAAGAACAAAGCCAACTGTATGGGAGAACATATTTTCAAATATAATCACTGATAAAGGTTTAATCTCGAACATCTACAGACAGCCTATACAACTTAATAAAAGGAAGATAAAAGAGCCAATTAAAAAGTGGGAAATGGACCTAAATAGAATCTTTTCTAGAGAAGACAGAAAAAAAACTAAGAGACATAAGAAAACATGCACAAAGTCACTAATTAAATGAGATACGCGAATCAAAATGACAATGAGGTACCATCTCACACCTGTCAGAATGGCCAACATCAACAAATCAGCAAACAACAAGTGCTAGGAATTTTACGAATGCAAGGATGGTACAATATCCGCAAATCAATAAACGTGATACATCACATAAACAAATTGAAAGATAAAAATCATATAGCCACAGCAATCCTGAGAAAGAAGGGTAAAGTAGGAGGGATCTCAATACCGGACTTCAAACTGTATTACAAAGCCACTGTTCTCAAAACAGCCTGGTACTGGCACAAGAACAGACATATAGATCAATGGAATAGAATCGAGAACCCAGATATCAACCCAAATCAATATGCTCAATTAATATTTGACAAAGGAGGAAAGAATATACAATGGAGTCAAGACAGTTTCTTCAATAAATGGTGTTGGGAAAATTGGGTAGACACATGCAAAAGAATGAAACTAGATCACCAACTTACACCATACACAAAAATAAACTCAAAATGGATACAGGACTTAAACATCAGACGGGAAACCATAAAAATACTAGAAGCATCTTCAGGCAGCAAAATCTCAGACGTATGCCAAAAGAACTTCTTCACTGATACTGCCCCTAGGGCAATGGAAGCTAAAGAGAAAATAAACAAATGGGACTACATCAAAATAAAAAGCTTTTTTACAGCAAAAGAAACCATCAACAAAACAACAAGAAAGCCCACGGTGTGGGAGAACATATTTGCAAATAACACCACTGATAAAGGTTTAATCTCTAACATCTACAGACAGCTGATACAACTAAATAAAAGGAAGATGAATGATCCAATTAAGAAATGGGCAAGGGACCTAAATAGAATATTTTCAAAAGAAGACAGAAGGAAGGCCAAAAGGCACATGAAAACATGCTCAAAGTCACTAATTATACGAGAGATGCAAATCAAAACAACAATGCGGTACCATCTCACACCTGTCAGAATGGCCAACATCAACAAATCGACAAACGACAAGTGTTGGCGAGGTTGCGGAGAAAAAGGAACCCTCGTGCACTGCTGGTGGGAATGCAGACTGGTGCAACCACTGTGGAGAACAGTGTGGAGTTTCCTCAAAAAACTGAAAATGGAACTCCCATTTGACCCAGTAATCCCACTCCTAGGAATATATCCCAAGAAACTAGAAACACCAATCAGAAAGGATATATGCACCCCTATGTTCATAGCAGCACAATCTACAATAGCCAGAATTTGGAAACAGCCTAGGTGCCCGTCAGCAGATGATTGGATCAAAAAACTATGGTACATCTACACAATGGAATACTATGCTGCCATAAAGAAGAAGGAATTCTCATCATTTGCAGCAACCTGGATGGAATTGGAGAACATCATGCTGAGTGAAATAAGCCAATCAATGAAAGAGAAACACCACATGACCTCACTCATTTGTGGATAATAAAGAGCATTATAAACTGATGAACCAAAAGATAGATATAGAGACAGTAAAGCAACAAGCAGATTGTCA